TTTGTCGGGGATCGGCGGAGGAGGAGCAGGAGGAGGAGCAGGAGGAGGAGGAGGAGGAGGAGGAGGAGGAGGAGGATGAAGAACACGGAGAGGAGGAGGAGGAGGAGGAGGAGGAGGAAGAGGAGGAGGAGGAGGAGGGGGAGGAAGAGGAAGAGGAGGAGGAGGAGGAGGCGGCGGAGGATGAAGAGCACGGAGAGGAGGAGGAGGAGGAGGCGGAGGAGGAGGCGGAGGAGGAAGAGGAGGAGGAGGAGGAGGAAGAGGAGAAGGAGGAGGAGGAAGAGGAAGGAGGAGGAGGAGGAAGGAGGACGGAGGATGGAGGAGGAGGATAGGATGAGGAGAGGAGGAGGAGGAGGAGGAGGAGGAGGAGGGAGGAGGAGGAGGAGGAGGAGGAGGAGGAGGAGGAGGAGGAGGAGGAGGAGGAGGAGGAGGAGGGGGAAGGAGGAAAGAGGAGGAGGAGGAGGAGGACGGAGTTAGGAGGAGGAGGAGGAGGAGGAGGAGGAGGAGGAGGAGGAGGAGGAGGAGGAGGAGGAAGGAGGAGGAGGAGGAGGAGGAGGAGGAGGAGGAGGAGGAGAGGAGGAGGGGGAGGAAGAGGGGGAGGAGGCGGAGGAGGAGGAGGAGGAGGAGGAGGAGGAGGAGGAGGGGAGGGGAGGAGGAGGAGGAGGAAGGAGGAGAGGGGAGGGAGGAGGAGAGGAGGGAGGAAGGAGGAGGAGGAGGAGAGGAGGGGAGGGAGGAGGAGGCGGAGAGGAGGAGAGGAGAGGAGGGGAGAGGAGGAGGGAGGAGGAGGAGGAGAGAGGAGGAGGAGGAGGAGGCAGGAGGAGGAGGAAGGAGGTAGGTAGTAGGAGGACGAGGAGAGGAGGGAGAGGGAGGAGGAGGAGGACCAGGAGGAGGAAGGAGGAGGAGGAGGAGGAGGAGGAGGAGGAGCGGAGGAGGAGGAGGAGGAGGAGAGGGAGGAGGAGGAGGAGGAGGAGGAGGAGGAGGAGGAGGAGGAGGAGGAGGAGGAGGAGGAGGAGGAGGATGAAGAGGAGGAGAGGAGGAGGGGGAGGAGGAGTGAGGAGGATGACGGAGGAGAAGGAGGAGGATGGAGGAGAGGAGGAGGAGGAGGAGGAGGAGGAGGAAGAGAGAGAGAGAGAGAGAGAGAGAGAGAGAGAGAGAGACAAGCAGAGCTCCGCGAGCAGCGAAGCAGGGCCTGGGTGGGCAGCGTTTGGGGCCTGTGTAGGCAGCGTTTGGGCCCCCTGTAGGCAGCGTCTGGAGCCTCAGTGGGCAACGTGGTGGGGCCTCTGTGGGCTGCGTTTGAGGCCTCTGCGGGTAGCGCGGGGCCTCAGTGGGCAGCCCTTGGGGACTCTGCGGGCAGCGTGCAGCGTTTGGGGCCTCTGTGGGGCAGCGTTGGGGCCTCTCGTGGGCAGCGTTCGGGGACTCTTGAGGCAGCGTTTGGGGCCTCTGTGACGCAGCGTTTGGGGACCTATGTGGGCTGCGTTGGGCATCTGCTGCATGCGTTTTGGGGCACTCCACCAATTTTCCTGGGGCAACGTTTGGGGCCTATGTGGCAGCGTTTTGGGGCCTCTGTGGGCAAGCGTTTGGAGCATCTGTGGCAGCGTCTGGGGCATAGGTGGGCAGCGTTTGGGGCCTCTGTGGGACAGCGTTTGGGGCCCCCCTGTGGGTCAGCGTTGGGGCCTCTGTGGGCAGCGTTTGGGGCCTCTGTGGCTGCGTTTGGGCTTGTTGGGCTGCGTTTGGGCCTCTTGGGCACGCGTTGGGCCTCTTTTGTGCAAAAGGGGGGGGGCCGTTCGGGGACCTCTGTGGGCAGCGTTTGGGGCCTCTGTGGGCAGCGTTTGGTGCCTCTGTGGGCGGCGTTTGGGGCCTCTGTGGGCAGCGTTTGGAGCCTCGCTGGACGGCGTGATGGGACCTTAGTGGGCAGCGAGGTGGGGCCTCTGTAGGCAACGTTTGGGGCCTCAGTGGGCAGCGTTTGGGGCCTCAGTGGGCAGCGTCCGGGGCCTCTGTGGGCAGCGTTTGGGGCCTCTGTGGGCAACGTTTGGGGCCTCAGTGGGCGGCGTCTGGGGCCTCTGTGAGCAGTTTTGGGGCCTCTGTGAGCAGCGTTTGGGGCATCACTGGGCGGCGTGATGGGACCTTAGTGGGCAGCGAGGTGGGGCCCCTGTAAGCAACGTTTGGTGCCTCAGTGGGCAGCGTTTGGAGCCTCAGTGGGCAGCGTTCGGGGCCTCTGTGGGCAGCTTTGGTCCTCTGTGGGCTGCGTCTGGAGCCTCAGTGGGCAACGTTTGGGGCGTCTGTGGGCAGCGTTTGGGGCCTCTGTGGGCAGCGTTTGGGGCCTCTGTGGGCAGTGTTTGGGACCTCTGTGGGCAGCGTTTGGGGCCTCTGTGGGCAGCGTTCGGGGCCTCTGTGGGCAGCGTTTGGGGCCTCTGTGGGCAGCGTTTGGGGCCTCTGTGGGCAGCGTTTGGGGCCTCTGTGGGCTGCGTTTGGGGCCTCTGTGGGCAGCGTTTGGGGCCTCTGTGGGCTGCGTTTGGGGCCTCTGTGGGCAGCGTTTGGGGCCTCTGTGGGCAGCGCTTGGAGCCTCCGTGGGCAGCGTTCGGGGCCTCTGTGGGCAGCGTTTAGGGCCTCTGTGGGCAGCGTTTGGGGCCTCTGTGGGCAGCGTTCGGGGCCTCTGTGGGCAGCGTTCGGGGCCTCTGTGGGCTGCGTTCGGGGCCTCTGCGGGCTTCGCGGAGCTTCTGCGGGCTGCGTTCGGGGCCTCTGTGGGCTGCGTTCGGGGCCTCTGCGGGCTTCGCGGAGCTTCTGTGGGCAGCGTTCGGGGCCCCTGCGGGCAGTGTGGGCAGCCCTTGGAGCCTCTCCGAGCAGCGTGGCAGAGTTTGGGGCGGGCCAGGGCGCGGCCAGGGGGAAAACGTCAGGAAATCAAAATTTTGACCAGATCCGTTGCCAGAGGCGCAGTTCGATGGATCAAGAACCTCCGCGTGCCTGCACGGTTCGCGCGCGAAGCCGGCGTGGCCCAACCCTATGGTTCCGCCACTTCCGCAGAAGCTCGGTGCCGAGAAGGGCCCTAGAGACCGAGGAGCGCCAAAAACCAGAGAGGAACCAGATTCGTCGCAGTCCGCAAAGAGGAGAGAAGGCGGAGGTGGAAGAGGACGGGGGCGGGAGGGCGGAGGTGGAAACGCGCCGGCGGGTCTTGGCGCTCACCTCGTGGACTTAACCACAGTGATCAGCATCCCCTGGTACTGCGTGCGGTGCCAGGCCAATGCCGCGTCGTACGCGCTCTGCGTTGCAAACGACAAGACGCAGGACGTCGGCCCAACTGTCTCCACCGCGTCAGCCCCGAAGTCAGCCTTCAGGCGGTCAGGGTCCGAGTTCATGCGGAGGTTCTTGACGAAGGCTTCCCAGGTCGGGGCGGTGAGCGCAAGGCGAGGGTTGGGGAGCGCCTTTGGCGTGGAAGGCGCAGGCCCCGGGGCGGGCTCTGGGAACGCGCCGAGGCCAGGGCTCAGCGTGACCGTGGAGAGCGGGCGCCACAAGAGGTCAAAAGGGATGTTGTGCCTGTCCTGGTGAATCTGCAAACGCTCGTCGGTGCGCACGGCGACAATGTAGCCGTGCACCGTGAACCCAGTGGTGGTGGACACGTTCTGGCACCGGCGGCCCAGGAGACGTTCCATGGCGGCGCGGTGCGTGCGCGGCGCGGTGAGCAGGGCGAGAAGCGAAGGGCCGACGACGAGCTTGACAAAGAGGAGGATCCTTCGGGTGGCCGCGTCGAGGCGAGAGTGCCCCGGCAACTTTCCAGATATCAACAATAATGCCACACCCGAGATCAACGCGCCGTTCCAAGCCCACCTCAGCCCCCTCACTCCTATCCGCATCAGCGGTGGTTACTGGTCATCAGCACCATCATCATCATCATCATCACCATCATCATCATCAGCATCAGCATCATCATCATATCATCATCATCACCATCATCATCCTCATTTTCATCATCATCATCATCAGCATCATCATCATCATCATCATCATCATCATCATCATCATCATCATCATCATCATCATCATCATCATCATCATCATCATCATATATGTTATCATCGCCGAAAGACAGAAGGGATGCGCCAAGATCTGCCCTTCGGGATGGGCTTCATTGTCCAATGCCGCCGCCGTGCGAGTATCCTCACGGCAAAACAATGCAACAATGCAGGATCGCCAAGTGAGGATATCGAGTCAGACGCGCTCCATCGCTAGCGCCGAGAGCGATCCTTCGGATCCTCCTCCTCCTCCTCCGCCTCCTCCCCTCCTCCTCCTCCCCCCTTCTCCCTCCTCCTCCTCCTCCTCTCCCCTCATCCCCCTCCTCCTCACTCTCTTCCTCTTTTCTCCTCCTCCTCCCTCCTCCTTCCTCCACCTCTCTCCTTGTCTGCCGTTCTTTTTTCTTCCTCCTCCTCCTCCTCCTCCTCCTCCTCCCCCTCCTCCCTATCCTCCTCTCCTCCTCATCCTCCTCCTCCTTCCTCCTATTCCTCCTCCTCCGCCTCCTCCTCCTCCTCTCCTCCTCCTCCTCCTCCTCCCCTCTCCCTCCTCCTCCTCCTCCTCTTCCTGTCTGGGTCCGCCGGGTCCGCTGGGTCCGCTGGGCCCGCCGGGTTCGCCGGGTCCGCCGGGTCCGCCGGGGCCGCCGGGTCCGGGGTCCGCCGGGTCCGCCGGGTCCGCCGGGTCCGCCGGGTCCAGCCGGGGGCCGGCGGGGTCCGGACGGGCCGTTGGTCAGCTTGCGTTCCGTGCAGACGCGTGACGTCCGACGACGGGTCCGCGGGGGTCCGCCTGGGTCCTGCGGTCGCCGGGTCCGCTGCCGGTCCCGGCCGGGTCCGCCGGGGTTCCGCTGGCCCCGCCGGGTTCGCCGGGTCCGCCGGGTCCGCCGGGGCCGCCGGGTCCGGGGTCCGCCGGGTCCGCCGGGTCCGCCGGGTCCGCCGGGTCCGCCGGGGCCGCCGGGTCCGACGGGTCCGTTGGGTCAGCTGCGTCCGCTGCAGACGCTTGAC